ACTGTTTGTTAAATAATTTAAATCATCTCAGAATATAAATAAGGTTTTTACACAACACAAACAATATAGGAATAAATTGACTGGGTTCTAATATCTACTGATAAGATAACTACTACCCAAGCTTCAAGTGTCTTAAATAAAAACTCAAACCACAACCTACCACTTAAAAACTCTCTAAAATTAATTGCTTCCTACTGCCCTGCAAGGCTACAGTCTGTGACTGTGAAAGTACAAATTAAGCAATTCATCTCCTTGAAAATACTATCATCAGAGGTTTTGTTTGCACTGAATAATGAGCTATAGTGCTCTGTGATCGCTCTTCACAGGTCCTAAGCCATTCTCAAATCCAGGTGCCCACACTATTGACAGAGGCATATAATTTTTATGAAGAATATTGGGTCTCCTTCCATGATCTCATCTTCAAAGTCATTTCTACTTAATCATCAATTCAAATCTCTCAATAGACAAAGGTGTATAAACTACATAATTTCTTGAATCAAGTTTACGAGTTAAAACAGCCTACTTCTTCATCCTGTGTAACTACAAAATCAGTTACTTTTAGAAATTTTGCGTCTGAAAAAATGGAAAAGATATAACATCTTATTGTAGTAATTTAAAAGATTTAAATTACTACTTAGTGTAGTTATTTTAAAAGATTTGGACCAGAGGAAATCCTGCTCTATGATTCGATCTAATGATTGCTTAAGAATATTAAGTTAGATAAGTGAATTAATGTGACCTTTAAATTAATCAAACTCAGTCTATTTAATAATTTACTCGATAGATAGATATTGCACACCCATTTTGTGCCAGTAAACTCTGAAGACACAGGAATAAACAGAGCTGACAAATAACCCTGACCTCATCTAGCCACATACTTGGTGGAGACAGGGAGTTGGAATATACAGAGATCACAATTAAACAAAGACTATCAGCTCTGACCAGGAAAAATGGGAAATGTCACTTAAAGTAATGAAACAGAGGTCAAGCTAAACGTCACTGAAAGGGTGATTTAAGTCAAGCTGTAGGGGCCAAAGAGGAAACAACCATCAGATTATCCAGAGGCAGAACTTTCCAGAAAAAAAAAAAATTAAAAGGCTCTGCAAGCCCTGAGTGGACTGACCTTGCCTGCCCTGGGTCTGAAGATGATGCAATGAGATGAGGAGCAGGGGAAGGGGGCAAAGGGGTGGGCAGGGTCTTACCAGCCAGGCAGAGAGCATGAGATTCATTCCCCCGATGCCATTTTGAGCTTCTGATGTTGGCCCTGCTTCATGAAACTCTCACTTTATGCTTTCATGGACCATCTACGTTTTATCTCACTACCGACTGGTGTATCCATTTTAATCAGTATTTCACTTTAAAATTTCAAAGCAATTGTGCAGTATTTTTATCGGGTTAAAAGAAGCTTCTTATCTGCCTTTAGATGTACAGTTCAACTTCTCTTTCAAAAATAAGCTTTTAAATTTGTTCCAAAGTTATTTTTTTATAATTAAAATAAAAAAAATAATTTATACGATTCCAAACTGAAAATATAAATGGGCCTATTCTCTTTGCCTTGAAAAAAAAAACAACAGTTTCAAAGCGTAGCTTATCCACCTTGCAGATGATACACAGCACAATTTAAATGTTCCCTGCTATATAAAAGTATTTTCTCTCCTAAAACCTGATGTACTCAGGAAATGAAAAAGATTCCTTATATTACTCTAATTCAGTTAGAGTACAAAAATTAATGTCTGGCTGTAAATTTTGTGATCCTTTTCACGTTCAAATCAGAAAAATAATAATTTAAGTTCTAGAGTCAATATCCCCAAACAAGGAAAAATTGACTAGACCCACATTAAAAACTCAAAACATATTCTGTTTGTAAATTGTCTTTTAAAAATCTTCAAAACACTAGTAGGTCACTGTGCCCACTTTCAAAACTGAGATTCAGCATACAAGTCCCTTTACAGGATAAAGAGAAAATTCAAAATAATTAGGAATATTAGAACTGCAACGAAATCTGTCTCTTTATATTTTTAATATGTGTTCAAATAGAATGCTTAAATGCACAGATAATTGAATGATACTCAGAACTTGGTGTCAACGAGTGCCTGACACTTACTATGTTCTTCATTAAATGTTTCTTGACTCAGTAAATGAAATAATATGTTATTTTAAAACAGTTTTCTTATTCTACTAATGGAAAAGTTTTTTCTAATGGTAATTAATTTTAGTATTGGAAAGTCATTCATATAACACACCTGAAAAGAGCATATTAACACAATTACGCAATATACAAATCTAATTTCTTCATTATTAAGGGGTCACGAGATTATATTTTACATTATAGACTGATGATTTGAATCATTCTAAATAACATTATTTGCATCAAATACTAAAGTTTAGTTATGGACAATGGCAGTGAATACAGTTTTAAAGTATAAAACCTGGTATTTAGTGACCATGTCTTCCAGCCCTTCAATCTTAGAGTCTTGCAGGACTGAATACGTCTTGAAGGTTGTAAAGATGTCCATTATCTTGGCAAGGCGTCGATGGAAAGTTTCAAATTTTCCAAAAATATATATTTCACTAAATTCAAATTGTTTTTCACTTGGTTTTTCTTTAAGCTTTTGTTTTGTCTTGTGAAAGCAGTGCTGGTATTCCTTAAAATCAAAAGCCAAGTATAAGCAAGTGAACATGGTGGGGAAAGATGGTGGAATGAGATGGACATCATTACCCCTAAGTATATGTAAGAAGACACGAATGGTGTGACCACTTTGTGTACAACCAGAGACATGAAAAATTGTGCTCTATATGTGTACTATGAATTGAAATGCATTCTGCTGTAGCTCAGTGGTAGAGCACCTATCCAACATGCACAAGACCCTGAGTTCCAGATCCAGACCATTAAATAAATAAACAAATAAATAAGAAAGAAAGAGAACACACAATAATAATTTTATTTTCTTAAGGGCAGGTAACAGCAAATTTAGGAAGAAAATGTCCACCTTTTCACAGTTTTATGTCTTTGTGTTTCTTTATCTGTCAGCCTGGAATATCATCTTTTCCCATCTTCCAATGTAGCAAGCTCTTAATTATTCATGGTGCAACTCAAAGGTATGGTTTCCTACCCTGGTCCCACCATTTTGGTAACAGCATGGATGTGCCTATCTCCCCATAGGTCTATAGAACGATGCTGAAGTAAAACTATATCATCTTCTTCATCCCGTAGCTCCAGAACCTAGCATAGTATCAGGACATAGTAGGACTCTAACAGCTCAGCTTTCTGGAAAGGTTTATTAGCACCCAATTTTCTTAACAGTAAAAAATTACTGTTCTTTAAGTCTTTTGATGTGATGGATTACATTTATTGATTTCCATATGTTGAACCAACCTTGGATGCCTGGGATGAACCCCACTTGATTGTGGTGCACTATCTTTTTGATATGTTTTTGTATTTGATTTACCAGATTTTTATTGAGAATTTTTGTATCTGTGTTCATTAGATATATTGGTCTTAAGTTATCTTTCTTTGATGTGTCTTTGGAAACTGTGGTATATCTACACAATGGAATATTACTCAGCATTAAAAGAGAATAAACATGGCATTTGCAGGTAAATGGATAGAGTTGGAGAACATTATGCTAAGTGAAGTAAGCCAATCCCCAAAAAACAAATGCCAAATGTTTTCTCTGATATGAGGATGCTGATCTATAATGGGGATGGGGGGGGGAGCATGGAAGGAATGGAGGAACTTTAGATAGGGCAAAGGGGAAGGAGGGGGAAGGGAGGAGATGGGGGGTAGGAAAGATAGTAGAAAGAGATGGACATCATTACCCTAAGTACATGTAAGAAGACAGGAATGGTGTGACCACTTTGTGTACAACCAGAGACATGAAAAATTGTGCTCTATTTGTGTACTATGAAATGAAATGCTGCTGTCATGTATAACAAATTAAGATAAGTAAATAATTTTTTAAAAATTACTGTTCTTTTAAGCAAGCAATAATATAAATGCTAGATAATTTAAGATAGTCTCAGCAAAAATAACAAAGATAATAAAACACCTAAAGACATTACTGAGCTAGCCATTACCTGCTTCAGTTTAATTGCTGATAATATTTTTTCCATAACAACATCCTGTGGCTGGTTCCAGATGGAAGTGGTTCCATTGTTGGTAATATAGGCTTTACATGCAGATATCATCTGATTTGTCACCTGGAATTTTCCAATAAAATAGCTGTGGACTACAAATCAAAGTAGAGGACCCTCAACTCTTCTACCTCTCAGAACTCACAGTCTGTGAACTCTATCTTTAGATTTCTTTTCTCCCAGCACAATTATAATAAGCTCTGAACCTTTAATACTGTCAAAATCATCTGTGAAATCACAGAGTTGGAAGCACAGCAGAAAGTCAACAATTGCAGCATCTTGTTCATGCAAGATGAAGGTCTTAACCAACCAAAGGATTCACCTCCCTGTCTTACCATCTGACAAGTCTCCCTGATCTCCCTAGGTGGCCTGCTGTAGCATCTACCTCACCGTTTACAAGCACTTTGATATTTCATGCCACCATGACCTATAGTAAAAATGTCAAAAGGAGATCACAGAAAGGCCAGGAAAGCTAGCCTATGAAACACTAACATATTATTCATCTCTCCAAACTTTAAAAAAAAAAAAAGCCTTCAGAATTTTCTTGATTTTTTTTCCTAAATAAAACAAAAGAAAAATTAAATGACTGTTATGTATGCACAGGATAATATGATACCCAGGGTTTGCAGGGTAGGAGTGAAATTGTAGGCAAAACAAGATCAGATGTGTAATGATAATTGCTGAATTGGGGTGAGATGTGGATGGGGGTTCAGTATACAAACCTCTACCCTTTTGTACTACTTTAAAAGTTCCATAACAAAAGATTTTTGATAATTTGACAAACAGTAGTTTTGTAATTTTACCCTAAATCAAGTCTTACAAATAATATGTATGCAATCTAGATTAATAATTCAATCAGATTTTGAGTCTCATTTATCTACAGAACATCATCCCTGGCCCCAACACTCAGTTTTAAAGTATGAAGAAACAGGGGAGGATCCTGCAGGCTTCCCTGCTCTCCGCCTGGATTGCCCACACCAGAACAGGGGGAAAATCCCCTTAGGGAGCCCTAAAGGCTGACCATTTCTGTTCCCAGGAAGAATTATGCCTTGTGCTACTAGGGGATTTGAAACACAGCCTTGAAGAGTCAAAAATCTTTGTATTTTAATGCAATATTTGAAATGTTTGCCTTGATATTGAAATAGACATTTACTTCTTAGAGACTTTCAAAGAGGGAAATAGCAACAGTGCTTATCATAAACGCTTGTGAGCTAGGACATAAGGTCTAAACATCATTATGTTTTTTTGACAGAATCATTATAATTGCTTTATAGATTACTGGAACATTGAAAGTGGCTTTTATTACCATGATTACTGTTCTAATAACACCAAGTGAGCAACCGTAGCATAAAATGAATGTGGGACCATGGTGTAAAGAATAGGAAATGGGAGATAGCCAGTTAACTGTAGCTTTTCTTAGTTATAATTTGCCCCATAGGAATAAAGAATGGGCTAGGTAACAAAGGGAAAGAAATTCCAAAAAGAGTTTTTTGTTGTTGTTGTTGTTTTATTATATAAATAACAAACTATCACAATTATTATTTTGGAAAATAATTCTTTATTTGCTATACTGTACCTCTCACAAATTTAATTCTATTTCTATCAATAGACTAAGCCTTTTTTAAATTGTAAGACACATAGACATTAGATTAGACTAATTTGGTGATCTGTAATTTTCAAAAATGACCATTGGCAAAGAAATATGTGACTAGGCACTCTGCCCCATGCACTTACCTTTATGAATAGAGATGTGATCTTCTCAGAGGTGTTATAGTAGTGAGAGATGCTGTAGATCATTTTAATTGCATTTATAAGTGTAGGAATAGCATCAATCATAGATATCTGGAAGACAGCACCAAAGTTTTCAGGGAAACAAGGTCAAATTCATCCAGATTCTAATTGTATAATCATTTCATCTTCATTAGAATAAAATTTGAGAGTTTTATTTAAATTTTAAATGCTACCTAATGTTTTCTGTAAATATAGAATATTTAACAATAATTTTTTATTATTTTAGTCATTTATAGTTAATCAAATTTTATTTCAATGCAAGCAACATTAAAGAGGTTATATTACCAGTTGATTTTATAATAAATAAAATTAGGCACTTCCTAAAGCAAAAGATTGTCTTAAAAACCCAGCCAGTGACTATTCCCACAGTTCTTCAAGGTGTAATCCAGAATCAACTGAAATATTTAATAGAAAATAAACACCAGGGAATGAGATTGATCAAATTATGTTATGTGGGTATACAAATATGGCATAATAATTCCCACCATCATGTATGATTATCATGTAGCAATAAAAACAAATTTTAAAAAATAAAATGTGCAGTATATGCTTTCCAAATGTAACATTTCATAATTTATCTTCCATAGTAGGCATAGAAGGTAGGAATGTCGATAGGTACAGGTGATAGATGAGACGGACATAGAAATGGATAGGGACAGGGAGTGATACACCATTTTCTTGAGAATAAAAGAGCAGAACTTTTTCAACCTATTAAGAGTCTCTAAATCCAACACGCAGCACTCTGATCAGCTAGTGCAGACAGGGTCATCAGTGGACTAAAGGAGTAGAAATCCATAACTCACGGGATCACTGTTGTACAAAGGGTCACAGCATTTCTCAAGTGTATACAAATATTTGACATTGTCCTTTGCTTCATTAGCTGCATCAGTGATTCGAATATCCGTCTCCCGCCAAGCCTAAGCACAATACAGGAAAGCAATCTTAATGCAAGTACTAACAGAGCAACTTCCAACATAAGAGCTACTAAGTGTCACCACAAATCCCTTGGGTCCTACTTGCCATTTGTTCTGTGCAGCCTGCATGAAACTGAATCCCAGAGGTGAGGGACATTGCTATGCTGAAGAACAACTTAAAATTTCTGACTAAATGTCAAAAGGCTTCTCTTCCAGGCCCTCCCTTATAAAATCTATTGTCTAGCTAGCATAGAGCCCCAATAGGACAGGATCTCCCTTTAAACTCACAGCCCCCTGCCTCCACTGGCAACTGGACCCACTTCATACCTCACCCCTTGTCTTCTGTCTTCTCTCTATTCTAACCTGAGCCCCTTTTCCCTGTATCCCTATGCCTTTGTCCATCAATTAATGTAGCAATTATTTATTAGCTGACAACCTCATGCCAGGACTATGCTCTTGGTGATGAACTTCAAAATGAAAAGATATCTAAAAGAGGTAGGAGGAAATGATTTAGCATGAATCAATACATTTAGTTGACTTCACGAAGATCCTACTGATAGTATTCAGAAATACTGAACCGTATCGCAAGATTGGTCTCTCATATTTCTTTAATGATACAAGATAGCTATAAAGCACATTTATTGAAACAAATGATTATTCAAATTATACACATGGATTAAAACATCTATGCAACTAGCAACTAATAGGGCTTATGGCACCAAGTCCCAGTGAGTTAGGAAGTGTCCACCATTTTCCCTAGGAACCCCAACTCCTTATATTCATGCTCTGTGTCATCCCTTCCCCTTGATCATGGACTAAATCTAGTGATGAGTGGGGGTGGGGGGATACCAGGGATTGAACTCAGGGGCACTTGGCCACTGAGCCACATCCCCAGCCCTATTTTGCATTTTATTTAGAGACAGGGTCTCACTAAGTTGCATAGTGCCTTGCCTTGGCTGAGGCTGGCTTTGAACTCAGGATCCTCCTGTCTCAGCCTCCCAAGTGATGGGCTTCTAATAAATAGAAAATGACAAAAGCAATAATATGTCACTCGCAAGGTTGGTTTACAAAGACTATGGCTTCTACTGGGCTTCCCTTGCTCCCTGAAAGAGCAGCCAAAAGCCACATTGTCACTGCCCTGTGGGGCGGTGGTGCAGGAGGTCTGTGTGGTGAAGAACTGAAGGAAGCCTGCGGCCAATGGCTAGCAAGGTGCTGAATCCTCAGCCACCACAGAAGCCATCAACCACCACAGGAGCCACCTCAGCAGCAGATCCTCGTGCCTCAAGCCCTCAGGTGAACCAACATCCCAGCTGCAACCACGTGGGAGATCCTGAGACAGAGGCACCCACTAAACTGCACCCAGACCCCAACCCACAGATGGTGAGATAAAAAATATTTGTTGTTTTGGGTTGCTAAATTTGAGGGTAATATGTTTTGCATTATAAAACTAATATATCAGGACTAAACATAGATAAGGTGAGGTTTTATTATCACTACCTCTGTAAGGTCTAAATTCATTTTATCTGTGTGTGTGTAATTATATGATTGTTCTATCTTAATTACATGCAATGCCCTCTTACAATACATACAAGTACTCCCAACAAATCTTTTTTCAATTCAACAGTTATTTTCACAGCATCCAAAATTCTATAAAAACACCGTGATTCGAACTTAAAAGGTTTTCCTACATACAAAATAGCACTTTTCCGTTTCTTATCACTTTGATATTATGCGTAGTGGGTTTTCATTCTCATTTCATAAGACACAAAGGAATGGCTGACAACCTTCAGGAGTTTGGACTTGGCTGCAGCAAGCACAGCCAACGTGGCCCTCACATCCGGGCCTTTCAGTTGATCCAAAAGGTAGTTAAATTTAGAGAGTCTCTTTTTCCAGTGCTCCAACTCTGCTCGGGGCCCCACGTCATCTGCTTCTTTGCGCAGCTGATTGTTTTCAGCAAGGACCTGTAAATGCAAAAAAAAAAAAAAATTCATGAGCCACTGAATGGGGCTGGAGGGGTGGAAATGATACATAAGCTAAAGAAAGTTAAAGAGGTTACAGGATCTGAATCATGATACATTTTCATTCATTTACTTGCTTCTGATGATGGTCTCTCACTAATTTAACATGTATCTTTATCAAAACTGCAACAAAGCAGGGTGTGGTGGCCTAGCCTGCAATCCCAGAGATTCAGGAGGCTGAGGCAGGAACATCGCAAGTTCAAGGTCAGCCTCAGCAACTAAGTAAGACCCTAAGCAAATTAGCGAGACCCTGTCTCAAAATAAAAAATAAAAATGGCTGAGGACACGGCTCAGTAGTAAAGTGGCCCTGGGTTCAACCCTGGTACCAAAAAAAAAAAAAAAAAAGGCAACAAAAATTAAGCTGATTTGTTCTAACTGAAAACTACTTGTTTAACAAGGACTGATTGAGCTTCTAGGTGACCCTGGATTCAGGAAATTTCTCTGCCTGCTCATTTACTATATAATCTTGAAGTAATAAAACCTTGGGAGACTCGTGCCTTGAGCAGGTGAATTTTCATTATGTATGTAATAGCCACCTTCGTTTAGGACTTTTCCCAAAATATTTTTTTGTAGTGAAGTCTAAAGCTTTTTGAAGGACATTTGAAGAACACAATGAAGTTAAAATTTGTTCTTCTTCAGAGGTTCTCTCCAAAGAAATTGGTGAAGTGCATATTTCTAGTTACTTAAGTACAGAGTCATCTAGTTTTGCCACTTAGGGGTCTCACTCTTCTTACCTGGTGACCATAAAGGAGAGGCACACTGGTCTTCTCACCTCCTTAAGGACAGGTTAAGACACAGTGGCAAAGGGGAATGTTAGGATAGACCCTATTCCGCAGGCAATTCAGTAATGTGACATCTGAAACTGGGAATTACCTGTTCCATCTGCTTGATCCATACTTTCACACAAGCTTCTACTTTTTCCAAAGTCTCAGGGTTACTAGCTACAGTCAGGTAGTCTATAGGCTCCTTCAGGGATTTCAGTTCAAATATGTCACACTTTTGAAGGCTCACCTAGTTAAAATGAAGATAAAATAACAAGATGATGCTTTTAAATACACACATAAACATGCACACGATGTTCTTGATCACCCCCAAGCCTAGATCTCAAGGGAGTCCTGTTCTATACACTCTCCTGCTCCCTCAGTGAAAGATCCCTAAAAGCATGGTGTCCAATGTATAATGCCCAGTCTTCCCTACAAATCAAGAACTATGAAAGATGATTGAGCATGGGGTCAAATGTTGGCTCTGAAATTTAAGAGATGAGCCCAGATAGAAGGGGAAAGGGAGGGAGCAAGAGAGGGAGGTCACACATCCCAAAAGTTGGGAATTAATAAGGAACTTGAAAATTATCACCTAGTTATAAAACAAAGGGAATGATTTAGACAGATTGAAGGAAATTAAATACAGGAGGAGGTGGAGGATAGTAGTCCCTAATTTATTACTTACTCCTTTTTGGAACCAATGAGAGAAAAGGATTCCCATGCCCTTCTAGGTAGCAAGTTCATGGGCAAACTTGGATTCAATTTAGAGGGCTGGGAGGTGGATTTTGGATTCACAAAGAAGTGTTTTTAAACACAAATAATATACCAAATCACCAAATGGGCCTCTCTGCTTGAAAGGGCATTTTCCTCTGGCAAATGTGTGCCTGATAACCTGTGAAAGTCTCTGAATTCAGCCCTCAGACCCAGCTTTACCTACAGCAGGATCAGAAGCAGTCGGAAGGGCTGTGACTATCTGTCATCCTCAAACTCCATGGAGCTCAGGCCCCACCCCTGGAATGCCAGAGGCCCTAGGAAGGATGGAAGGGGAGGGTACCTGCAGGGGAAGGTAGTATTCCCACTACAGAGTCCTGCCACTGGGAACACAGCCACTGCTCATCCTCCCCAAGGCTGATGGTCTCCTTCACCAGGCTTTGTAATAAGCCCTGAGCCCTGACTTCTGGTGGTCCCCAGTCCTGCCTCCCAAGCTCACCTCTGCTCAAATGTGATGCTTGTGCAGCCTTCCATACAAAGCCAAGCTCCACATCTGCCCTGTCCTCATGAGTTGGACTCAGAGGAGTGACTTTGTCACCCCAGAAGTGGCCTTGTCACTTGGGGTTCTTCACATTGCTACAGTCTGACAGAGCTCTGGCAAACTCACCTAGGTCACCCCCGCCCACATGCCACCGTGGTGCACCTCTGCCAGCACTGCCCAGCCTGGAAGGCCTTCCAGCACTTCTCCATGGTCCCACACACCTTCAGCAGCCAGCCCAAGGCCCAGCTGCCACTGCTTCCCAGAGAGAATACTTCATCCCCTATGGGAGTCTATCCCACCTTTTAATACCTTTATTATAGTATGAAGTGAAAGCATTGCTTTGTGGAGTGCAAGGCCAACAATTTCATTTGATCCAACCTGCATTTGAGTGACCTATAACCTAGTTCATGGCAAATACAATTCAGATGTTAACTGATTCATCCACCCCCGTCTGGATAAAATCTGCTCAACTCCCCAATCCCACATCCCTCAATAAGCACATCTCCTCCAAATATTCCAATAGGATTGGTGTTCCCTGGAGAGGAAAGAATGCCACTGCATTGCCACCAGTACCACAGCAGCATCTCGCCTCCTGAGGTACCTGGTCTGGGCTCTGTTGTCTTCCAGTGTTCCCTCACCTCCTCTCTCTCCCACTGACACCCTCCTCAGACACACAAAAATGTACATCTGCTAGCTTCTGTCCCCAAATAATCTCCAACAGAAAAATGCTGAGCCTCCATATTTGGTAAACCGGTCCTTAGAGACCCTTTTAGTCACTAGCTAAGCAACAGGACCCAACCCACTCCCTGCAGACGAAACAATTCCTCTTTCCTCCTTCCACCACTGTCCCACCTGCCACCACGCACACACACACACACACACACACACACACACACACACACACCTGGCTCCAGATTCCTTTAATTCAAGGATGCACATCAATGCTACAATGTGGTGAGCCGTTTCTGTGAACTGTGGCCGCCATTACAAGATGGCGCTGATAAGCGCCGTGGCCTGTGATAAACAACTCCTTATTTTGGGAGAGTTGGCACGTAGCTGTAAAACACCCTATGAAAAAGATCCACGTGGCAGTTGTGCATTGGGGCTTGATGTGCTTTATCAAGGCTGGGGCGCTCGGGTGAGGTAGTAGAAGTAGAAGTAGCAGTAGTAGTAGTAGTAGTAGTAGTAGTAGTAGTAGTAATAGTAAAGAGAAGCTTCCAGAGACACATAATTAAAGGCCTGAATAAGCTGCTGAAAGAAGAATCCTGTGTCGTGTCCTCCTTGCTGGCGAGGGGTCGCGGCACTACAAGTATTTCATGCTCTTGTCTTCACTGTCAAACATCTAAAATGACTGAGTAAAAACCTACATCACTGCCAGCCTTTTCATGGAGCACCCAAATGCCTTAATTATTATTATGCACACATAAATACTTAAATCTAGTCACCATGGCATCTTGGGCGCACCATAAAATTGACTACTAATTTTTGCAAGATTTTCAGCATGGTGGAATGCAGATCATGGAAGAGAAGTGTCACCCACGTATAGATTGTGTAGTTGGCCAACTGATCGCTTTTAAAAGAACAACTTACTAGTTCTTACCTTCTCCTTCAAACTCTCCTGTGCACCAGACAAGACATTGACAAAGCCTTCCAGAGAGCTCAGGAACTCCTGGCGAAGGCTGGCTGCGTCCTGAAGACCCTCGAGCTCACCCCAGCCATGGCTTGAAGCTCTGAGGGCAGGAATGAAGATGTCGGAGAGCAAACGTCGCACGCTGTTTAGCAGCCCCCCATCTGCAGTGTCCAGCATGTTAAAGCTCACCTCCTGGAAAGCAGTCAGGAGATGCTTTATTGTAAAAGTTATCCTCAACTGCTACATAGCCACCGGGTCACTTCTAAAAGTTGCTAATTAATCAAAATCTAGTGATTAATAGATTAACCAGTGAGTTATTACTTTGATATCCTGGTTAATAAATAAGCTATCTCCCATTATAACTTGCAGTTATCACAATAAAAGCATGAAATAGAGCACCAGATGTTTGCCAATTTATTTGCTCCAAGAAGATAATGCACCCATTAGGTGACAAGGGACACCTGTTTGGATGCACTTTGTTTCACAAAAAAAAAAAAAAAAAATAAATATTGCTACTTATCCACTTAGAGAAATCTTATTTTCAATGTCTGCAACTTGTCATTAAGTAAATTATGTATGGGAAATACTTATTAATACCTCACTGTACACACAGATATAATGTTATATCAATTTTTCTTAATAAAAGCCTGCTTAGTCAAAACATTTAAAGGAAATGTCTTCTTGATTGCTTGCTTTAAATGATTAAAAAGTACTTCCCTGAAAGTAGTTTTAGATACTGCAGTGAACACAGTGCTTTTCTCCACAAGGAAATACACTTTTGCACAGCTCAGGGGGTTTTTGGAGATGAGGTGTAAACAGTTGCCCCTCACCCGGTGGATGTTCTCCGGAGTGATGGCTCTGGATGGGTCGGGCCTGATGAAGAACACACACACTCCTGTAAGGGCCACATCTTTTCCCTCAGTCACGAACACCTTAGGTTTTTTAATCTTTCCAGAAACAAGATTTACTTCTCCTGGAGAGCCAAGTTGTCCTGCAAATGCAAGAGAGCTTTAATGTCACAAATTCCATTTACAGTCTACATAGATACTTAAGGATGAAGGTTCCTTGTTAAAGTATTGCCCTTGCTGACTTGCCCATGTTCTCTATGATTTGGCCGGAATCTAGCCTAAGCCCAGAAAAGGTCTATAAAGATCTCTTGATTTCAGATCCTAGATTCATTTCTAAATCATTGCTTCAGGGGCAGTAAGAAAGGGGACGGAGCAGAGAGCATCTACTGACATGTCACTGACCTCCACCAGGTTCCTGTCTACATTGTTAAAACTCTCAATCTGTGGGCATCGGTGACCTGCCCAGGCTGCACAGCCAACAGGTGGAAGAGCCAAAGTCAAAAACCAGGAGTCGCCTCTCCATGCTGCCCTTCCAGGCCATAGTCCACACAATTAGCTGGCCCTCCAGGACACTGCAAGGGTCACTTACAAAACATGTGATCTTGGAAAAGTTACTTAATCTTTCTTTGCCTCTATTTTCTCATCTGAAAAATGGGAATAATGATTCTAAAATGAAGCATCTGGAATTGTGAGAATTACATGAGTTAATCCATGTAAACCCTATTTTAGGAAAACAGAAAAATATTCACATTCAGTAAGTATTACTATTGTCAGGATTTTAAATTTTATTTTTGGTTGTTCAAGCACTTAGCTCATGGGGTGCGTCATTTAAGTACACAGAATGTGCTGTGAGCTGTTCTACTGTGTTCTTAAAGGCTCAAGAAAGTTTTAGATCTCCAAATGTCCTGGGGACTCAGCCAAGACTACTAGGTGGGAGGACAGTGCTAAAGGAGGAATTGAGGGAGGGTGAAATGGAGGTTGAGTCCTGACCCCGGGATTAGACCTGCTGGAGCAGTGCTGTCTGGGGGTTCCTCCTCCTCATGGTGTGACGCTAGAGAAGTCTGACCAGGACTTTGAGAAAGAACTCCCTAAAGGAAAGCAGAAGAGCTCTCCTTCTTTTAAAATGATGTCCCCCTTCTAACGAATACCCCCAGAATCTCACAGGTAATGTGATGCTAAACAAAAAAGTTTCCACCGAGGCACTAAGATACGAGAGGTCATAGAAAACAGTGTCTCATGGCACCAAAAAAAAAAAAACTGCATAAATTTCGGTACCCATTAGACTCCTCCACCCCCTATCAGAATCCAAAATGGTCAAGAGGAGCTAAGTTGAAGAGGATTTCGAGGACCACTGTGCTGTGAAAGGGCAGAGGTCTGGAATGCTTCGGCTATTCCCCAGGTCAACAACAAGGAGCTACTGATCCCAGTTGCCCCAGAATTGAGAGGTTTCCTAGGATGCTGAACTCACAGTACTAAAGCCAGGGAGGTGAGGTAGGACAGATGCCACCCTTGAAACATGGGATCTTCAACTCCACCATCTAACAAGCCTGGTTTATACCTCCTGGAGTTTGAGAATGAAATGGATTGTCTGTGACGCTTGCCCAGGAAATCTAAATATAGCATGCAACAAGGCCCCGAGAGTCAAGGCTGGACTGAGAATTGAAAACATGTCCACAGGTGGCAGGAACAAAGGGCACTAAGTGTGAGGATATTCAATCAATCAACAAATATGTGAAAAAAATGTTCTTCATCTCTAGCAATTAGAGAAATGCAAATCAAAACTACTCTAAGATACCATCTCACTCCAGTCAGAATGGCAGCTATTATGAAGACAAATAACAATAAGTGTTGGCAAGGATATGGGGACAAAGGTACACTCATACATTGCTGGTGGGACTGCAAATTGGTGCAGCCAATATGGAAAGCAGTATGGAGATTCCTTGGAAAACGTAGAATGGAACCACCATTTGACCCAGCTATCCCTCTTCTCACTCTATACCCAAAGGACTTAAAAACAGCATACTACAGGGACAAAGCCACGTCAATGTTTATAGTAGCACAATTCACAATAGCTAAACTGTGGAACCACTGAGTGTGACAATGGAACCATGTGGATGGCCTGGAGCCACCTTAGATGGTGCTTCAGAGGGGTGTTGGAAGGATAATTGGAGAGAACAAGCTGGGGTTGCATATGCTACCACAATACAGAGGCAGGCAGCAGGAGCTATGCTGAGCACCACACACCACCAGTGGACGTGCAGCTAGTGTTCTCAGAGGAGAAGCACCATGGGGCCACAAGAATCCAGGGAGTACAAGGTCAGCCACTTACAAAGGTGTTAGTCCAGCAAAAAGCTCCCTCTCATCTCTGCCCTGCCTCAGCCTGGCACAGTCAAACACAGTGGCTAACCCAATGTGGCAAGGGGTAGAAGAGTCAACCAAGGAAGCAAAGGAAGACCACATGATTCTCTCCCACTGTGAACATCAACTTCAGAGGTCCTGCTGGGGGCTGGCAGGGCAGGGGATGAGCAAGGGCAAGAAAGGGAGATGATTTAAATTCTGATCAAATAATTCTAATCAGCTTGGACAATTCTACTTTTGAATTAAGAGTTTGCAAGTTGAAATATCAATAGGCAATATTCCTACTTAAAAATGTCTGAGGTTGCCTGAATCTTAACCCAAATTCAGAAACAAACAGTAGAAAGGTTTAAAGGGAAATTGAGAAGCTGTGAAAATAAGATTGAATTTATGTTTACATCCTACGAACCCTTCTCCTTTCATGTATAATTTACCAGAAGACCAGCTTTACCCTGTGCACAGTTCATGTGTGAACTTCATCCATTTGAACTCAGGCTTTGCAATCAAAACTTCTTTCACTCAAAATATAATAATTGAACCATCTGAGCACAAAATATCAAACTGATAACTGGAGAAATGTCAATCACTTAGAATTTGCATGCATAATTTCTTTAATTGTTAAACAAGGAAGCATATTCATGTTATATGACAAGAATAATAACTATTTTTCCCTTTTTTTGAAAGTGGCATAAAGGATGCATATAATACTTTAACATAATCATAATTTACTTATTTATGTCCTTAGTTTGGCCTTAAAATAGAATTAAAAGTATAATGGGGGATACCAGTTGAAGCCACCCAAGAATCTGCACATTTTTCTTAAGTGAAAATGCCTAAAAATTTGTCTTTCAGTATTGCACATTTAAATCAGAATCAGCAGAAAATAAACACGATGTGATATTTAACTAAAAAAAAATTCATGTTATACTTACTGGCAATAATTTCTATGTTAATAAGAGAAACAGATGCCAATTAGAAGTTCTAGAACATAATTACATAGAATGATCTAACATATAAGAACAGGAAGTCTCAAAACAAAATCGATTTTATTATTCCCCTCTGGCCAGCACAGGCATAGAGAAGGAAGAGAAAGCAGGAGTCCGGCTAAACACTGCTTTCCCCATCCCCAGCCCTGGAGGTGAACACATTCTCCTTGGCAGGGCCACCCACCCCTTGCACAATGTGGTTCCCACACACCCCCACCCCAGGATGCCCGACTCGTTCCCCCAGAGGTTTTTGTCTTCCTGTCACCTTCAGATAAATACAATGACATTTCTGGGTTATGTCACATCAAATTTTAATACCTGTTTCTGCTACCTCCACGTCCTGATAGTAAAACATGAGGTGACGGAGACCTCCAACAGCAAAAAGTTGATCAACTCTTTCAATCTGGGGGAAAGAAAAGGCAAGGTAACGACTTTGTTCTACATAAGAAACTGCATTTAAATCAGAATTGATGGCATAAAAGAGCAAAATTTGTATCACCTTCCTTATTCAAATCGAACTGTATCCAGGGCAGTCCATGTAGAAGGGATATTCCTTCCAACACAAAAACTACAAAACAATACACCCCTTATCATAGGAAAAAAAAAAGTCACTTCAAAGAAGCACTTAATTAGTCATGGAAATAGTTGCTGTGAATGCACATCTGACCAGGGCTTGTCCCTCTGTTTTTGCTCATTTCCTAAAGTGTGAAGCCATTGAAGGTGGATATGAATATAGACGAGTATTTCATTTTCAGTCAGTTGTAAGAAAGAGACAACAAACCTTTCCAAAGCCAGCTACCAGACTAGAGCTAATAAAGGTTGACCAGGAACTGCATGGGGAGGAGTGACTAGGGACCACCCCTCCAGCAGCAGCCTGGCTTTAATCCCATCCACCAGGCTGGCTGTGTGTCTGGTGGTTGACACCTGCCCTGCCACCAATAGAAGCACTTCTTATAAAGAGTCCACAGCCCAGTTTAGAACTCATATGAGAAGAAAAAGGACAAAGTCTGCACATCTATTGAGATGGCCACTATCAAAAAATTCCAAGTGTCAGCAAGGATGTAGAGAAATCAGAACTCTCTTGCACTATTGATGGGAATGTGAAATGCTGAGACCACTGTGGAAAACAAGGTGGCACTCACCTGTAATCCCAGCAGCTCAGGAAGCTGAGACAGGAGGACTGTGAGTTTAAAGCCAGTCTCAGCAAAAGCAAGGCACTAAGCAACTGAATAAAACCAAGTCTCTAAGTTAAATGCAAAATAGTGGGGGGGGGGGATGTGGCTCAGTGGTCAAGTGCTCCTGAGTTCAATCCTGGTGCTCCCCACCTTGAAAAATAAAAAAGGTAAACATGGAATCACCACATGACCCAGCAATTCCAACTCTGGATTTATATCCAGAGAATCAAAAGCAGGACCTCAAAGACATTTGTACACAGGTGTTCAGAGCAACTTGACTCATAATAGCTTCCACAAAAGGTCAAAGCCGCAGATGAAAGGGGAAACCAAAGGTGGCATGTGTTTACAAGGGAATATTCCTCAGCCCTAACAAGTAGGGAAATGCTGGCCCCTGGCAGGACATGACTGAATGGTGAAACATCACGCTAAGTGAAATAAACAATCACAAAAGGACAAGCACTGTGCAATTCTACCATATGAGACACCTAGAGTAGTGACCATGTGTAGATGAGGGTAAAATGGTGATTGCCAGGGACTGGAGATAAGGAAGAATGGGAAGCGATTGTTTACTGGGCATAGAGTGTTCTGCTTCCTAAGATAAATGTTCTGAAGATTGGTTGCACAACACTGTGACTATACTTCATGGTGCCCACTTAAGATAGGCAAGATGGTAAATTGCACGTGTATTTTACCATAAAGTAATATTTTTAAAGGACAAAATATAGCCTGGATTTTAAGTATGGAAATAAGTTCCCTTCAGTTTCCATCATGCTGCAGATAAAACGGTAACAATGAGGAAAAGTGAGTTGCCCTGTTTTGTCATTGCTATTGTAACATTTCCTAGACTGAAGATGTTGTAGGAATGAGCAGCACGGACAACCTGGGACCCATTCCAAGCTGGGAACATAGTGAAGGCAATGCTTCCAACATAGCCAGGTCAACACTCCTGCACTTAACCTTCCCTTCCTGTCCTCCTTCCCTCCCTTCTGTCTGTCTGTCTGTCGGTCTTCCTGTCTCTTTCTATGTCTGATTAGTTTTGTTTTATAGTTCAGGAATCATAGGCTGATTGTGTGCCTTCCTTACTTCCTAGGGGACTCTGTCTTGCCATACTTCTGGACTTCCCCATCAAGGTCAAGTTACTGAGCAAATCCCACCCCAGGTTTGAAGGAAACTTGTAGCGGAAAATGGAAGCCAAGGTTAAGAATCTAAAACAAAAAACAAAAAGCTTTAGCTGCCAAACCAAAGCCCAAATCAGAAAACCATGGCACAATTCAGTTGTGCCACTATAAATGCAAAATAAATAACAACAAAAAAAAAAAATCCCAACCTGGAGCAGTGGGGAGATTTGGCTCCCTAACCTTGGGTTCCAAAATGGCACCAGAGCCCAACTTCACTGGATGTAGAGAGACACGGGCATTGCTGTCAGATGGTGGGACTCAGATGATCACCATGAGTACCCCTACACAGTAGAGAGCCAGAGACCCCTACTCCTGCTGCCACTACCAGGAGAGAGTCAGAGTGGAGCCCTGCTACATCAAAACAGGCACTGCCCTCCAAGGTACACCTTGGGATCCCACCACAGGACAGTGCCACACACCCTCTGTGTCCTCCACAACCAAGTCAGTAAGAACTCAAACACACTGCACCTGATTGCCCTCAAGAATGGCATCTTCCACTTCGCATTTGTTCAGGTCCAAGCAGGAAGCTACGATTGCAAATAAGTGGTCGTGTCTCCCATCCAAACGAGCCCGCTTGGCTTCTTTCTCTTCCTTCAGTCTTTGCTGAAAGAAAGGAAGAGAAATGTTATATTGCAACTGCTGTTCTCAAATGGATTCATTTTGTGATAATTTCATACAATTGCTGTTTTTTCAAGTCTTAGGGATTCAGATAATAGACAACTTAATGATACCAGTTTTTATGTACTAGCTTCTGTTTTTAGAAATAACATTACTTCTCTTCAGAAAATAAGGTGTGCTCATTGTTTTGAAATCGCATAATATAGATAAGTAAAAAGAAGAAATAGAAATCATCTGCCATCCAGAAATTATTACTGTTAACATTTTGTTCTAAATCTTTACAGACTTATTTCCATGCACATATGAGCATTTAATAAATACACAAAAGAGAGATCCCCATTTTTGTAAACACTTTTCCCAGCCATTAAAATAATAAGTTTCTGCATTATCTTCTATCTTTATTGTCTGTTCACAGGTTCATATTTGGTGTTCAAATTAATTTCTGAACACCACTTCCTTTTTTTGACCATTAATTGTTAGTTACAATAAGAAAGCATGTTTGCTATAGCCAACACTGGCAGATCCAAGTCCTTCTTTCCATACTCTTTGCTCAAACAAACATATGCCAACATATGCATGCACCAATTTTTATCCTGTACCATAATATTTTCTCATGTATTTCTCATGTATTCTCCCTTAAGAATGCATCAGACTTCTTTCTTGTTTAATGCAGACTATTCCAATCTGTATAACAGCTGCAAAATATTCATTATGAATGTATCGGTGGACATTTGACTTCTAATCCATTTCTGAGAATAAGGATATACTATCAGTTCCAGACAATAGGTTCTACTGGGGAGAAGAAAGGTGGCCCCTCTTGAGTCCTTCTTTTAACCAATGAACATATTTTATTAAGCCCCAAATACAATACGTGCCAGCACTGTAAAGGTAAATGTTACCCCGTAAATTCAAAAAAGCTCACTGCCTGATTGGCAGGATATGAGAAGAAAATGTAAATAACCACAGGGTGGCGTAATGTTTATTGTGGGGCATCAGATTTGGGGGCCCCCAAATGCAGAAGATATTTATGGATTCTTATAGAAGGAACAAAAAAAAATATCTCCCACTCTAGGACTGAGGAGGTTGGAGGTAGGAAGAACAGAAAAGCTTTCAGGAGAAGTGGGTCAGACCCAGAGTTGGAGGAAGATTGAATCCCTCCTAGGATAGAGCATCTCTGCACATTCAGAAGCAAGAGGCACAAGAAAGCACAGTACATTCTGGAAACCATGAGGTAGCCTCACTGACTCAAATGAAAAAGGATTAGGAGAACATAATGGGAAATGAGAAAGAAGTCAAATCATCAAATATTTTGTGGGCCACATTAGAAAGCTAAAACATTATTGGAAGTCTATAGAGCATCACTGATTCTGTTTGAAGTCAGGAGAGATTGATATTTGGCTCTCTATGCAGCACTGAAAACGCCATCATCCTGACAGCAGTGTGGAAAGTGGAGTGGAGGCACGCAGGCCCAGAGGTAGTTAGGTGGTCCTCACAGCATTTCCCAATTTCTGGGAACACATCTGGAGGAGCAGGTTATAGCAACATGACCACTAGTTGAGTTTTGGCTGTGTTGGATTCAGAGGTATACTGATACACAGGCAGAAGAGGCAGAAAGACCTCTGGAAATGTGGATCTGAAGTTCAAGGGGAAATTCATCACAGACACAGATACAAATGCAAAGTCTCAATCAAGCTCAATTGAAGGTGTGGACCAGAGGATTCTTGCTATGCACTATTGGTTGTTCAACAGCATGCTGGGTCTCTACCTTAGAGCTGCCAGTGGTTTCTACCATCAAGGTGTGAAAAAAAAAAAAAATGTCTCCTGACATTGCCAAGTGTCCCCTGTGGAACAAAAATCACCCCTCACTTTGAAACACAAATGTTACGTAGTCATAGACACACATAGTTATGGACATTTGTTGGTTTAAAGACTATAATATGAATCTTACTTTGGGGGGTTGTACAGAACTTCACCTGCAAAACTGTGAGCAGCAGGTGATTATAGGCTTACTAATTATTCACTAAATGATTGTCAAATAAATAAATAAAAGCTAAAACCATGAGTGCAGATATGATTTTCTAAAAAAGATATGGAGATTTTAAAAAAGCTAAAAAGTGAAGAACCGTAAGGAACACAAGGGAAAGAAATGCAAACAGATGAGGTTGAGTGTGAGTGTGCAGAGACAGAAAAGCCCAGGAGACAGCAGCACCCCTCAGCCATAGAGCAGGGCCAATATGATGGAGCATGGCTAATAGCACTAATGCTACAGAGGATTGGCTGGGTTGCTGAGGATATCTGTAGCATCTGTGCTCACAAGATGGCTATGGCATCCCACAGCTATTTTGTAATGCAATCTTAACATTGACCTATCAAGAGATAGACTCGATCTCCTGTTCCCTGGAATTTGGCAGGCCTTGTGACCAGTTCTGACCAAGAGAATCAGGAAAAAGCCAGGTAGCACCACTCCCTTGGCTTGTCCTTAAGACATCTTCAGATTTTGCCTTTGCATTTGGAATGTTCCCCAAACACCATGTTGAACAAGTCCAAGTCACCTGGGGAGACGATGTGGATGAGAACCAAGGCAGTCCAGTCAACAGCCCCCACTGCCCTCCTCACCAACATGCACCAACTCACCGCCATGGGAGTGAGCCATCCTGGCTGTCCCAACCTCATTGAGCCTACAGATGACGCAACCCAGCCAATGCCAAGAGCAACGGAGCCACCCTGTCCCCCACAGAGTCATGAGAGATGATGGGTGGCTGTCACTGCTTCCTGCCCTTAGGTTTGGGCATGGTTTGCTGTGCAGCAACAGGTAATGATAAACTTGATAGAGGATTTTCACTGGTTGGACAGAAAGCCAACGGATCTAGACTTGAGGAAAGTATGCCTGACTAGAGACAACTCTTTCCAAAAGTTTGACTATAAAGGAAAAGGGCACAGTTAAAAGGGAATGTAGAGTTAGGAGGGGGGGAATTTAGGATACAAAAGAGTTATGGGAAAGTCGAGGACCTTCGGAGTGATGGAAAGATCATCGCTATCCCTGTGCCATTTACACTTATTTCTCTGAACATGAAGGACTGTCCGAGTGACAACTTAGTTGAGGAAGAGGATGGGGCTTGTGGTTAAAAATAATAATAATAATCTACCAATTTTTTGTATTTTTCTACAAAGGTTGTGACACAAAGTATACATTTCATAAATGTCAAATAGTAGAAAATGTAAATGTATTTTCAAATGTCACTAAAACCAGGAAGATGCCCTGTTGTTTTGAACTGTTTTCTGCCTTTGCTGGCAGAGGGAAATAAAGCTTTCCTCAAGGAGATCTCTCTAGGATTGTAATAATTGTCTTTAACAGCATGGAGACACAGGGATCAAGCAGCAACCACACAAAGAGATGGCAAATGCTAAATAGCTAAAAAAAAAAAAAAAAAAAATTTAAAGCAGAAAGCCAGAAGACCCAAGATGTAAAGCAAATGAAGATTTCCAAAGAAGATGGACACTTAAACAAGTCCCATGGCAACATGTCACACCAGGATCCAATTTTATAAGAACCCAGAAGAAGAACAAAGGATTGGAATGGAGAAAAAGACAGACCTGTCCCTAAAACAGAACACTGATTGCTCTATTTTTACCTAAATGTCTTAGCGGGGAAAAATTCCAAAGCAGTTTTATGTATACAAAGAAAATGATCAGCATGTTTTTAAAGTAAATGTTTTCAAAAGCTATTTTCAAAAGCATGTTGGTTGAATGTGTTCTTACTTAAACAGATTGTTCTGCTTCCCAAAGACATGTGACATGGAGTCAACCCTGGAGCCATAGAAATGAAAGACCACAACATTTACCAGTCTCAACTTTCATGCCCAACACTAAGGTATCCTAGCACAAGGAGACTTTTTTGTTTTTCACTACCACAAAATGTCAATCACAGCAAACGAATATTTAGTAATGAGATCAACACACTATCAATCTATGAACTTAACCCTGTAGTCGCATGCAGTCCAGTGACCGGCTGTCTGAAGGTGGCTTGTCCTGCTGGCCTGTAGAATGTCTAGGACACTTGCAGAGTGAAGGTGGAAGGGGATTAAGAAAGCAGGAGGTAAAGTGTAAAATGACTTTAATAGTGACCTATTAAAGTCATTGCGCACTACATGAGCACATAAACTTGGGGGTTAGGGAGGATGGTCAGAAATCTCTCCAGTGTCCAGGGAAGTCTAGAACAGTATTGAAACATGTCTGTAATTTGTGACAAGGTGTGCCCCTAATGACTTGGACTGGAAGAGTGGCTGATATCATTGTTAACAAGGAGTGAGCGTAGCTTCCCAGCTATGGCAGCGACCCCCCCCACCCCACACACACACAAGAAGCCAACGTCAAGTGGAGTCATTGTCTCTCGTCCTAGCTCAACCACTAATTGTGAGGTTTTAACTGATATTTAGCTGATCTTGCTGGAGTTGCCTCAACTCCAAGATCAAAAGATCACTGGGTGACCGCGAAAAGAGCTTCTCTGACATGTGAGCTACTTCTCAGTGGTCCAAAAGTTAATGCAAATTACAGTCTTGAGATTTTAAAGTAATGAATCCCAGAGATGAGCCCAGGGCTCTCTGCTTTCAGAAGTTCTGTGACTTTTTCTCAAAACCATTCTACCAATTCAATATTTTGAAAATCCTAATCTTTAATCCTACATGATCAAAGTCCAAGTTTGCCTGTTTTGATACACAAACTGTGCATGAACTACACATATGCTCAATCTTTCATTTTGGCTTCACTTTAGGTTGATAATCCCCAACTATTCAGGAGACCTTACAAGAATGGAGATAAAAACCCTCACCAGAAAGATGTTCATAAAGATTAAATTGCACACAGGCTGGAGATAATACTAAATCAATCAACTTATGGATCAAAATGGCATGGCCAAGGATTTGGCCCTGGACATCAAAATTTAGTGAAACACACTTTTGAATAATGATATTTTTACTAATGTTCCA